CATTCCTTAACCAGAAACTATAAGAAAGATAGAAAATAATTTTTAAATGTCAGTAATAAGTTCTTCTTATCAACAATTACTTGAAATATAAGTTAATTAAACTTCCCAATCAAAAGACATAAAGTGTGGGGTGCCTGGGTGGCTCAGTTGATTAAAAATTCAATTCTTGGTTTCAGTTCAGGTCATGATCTCATAGTTTGTGAGATCAAGCGCCACATTGGGCTCTGTGCTGAGAGCACAGCACAATGTGTTTGGGATGCTCAAAAACAAATGTTATATGTATATTTAAAAATTTATATATATATATACATATATATATATGACAGAGTGGCTGAATGGATGGTTTTTAAGAAGGCAAAATTATAGGTTATGCACAAGAGGCTCACTTTAGATTTAAAGACACACATAGGCTGACAGTAAAGAGTAGAAAAAGATATCCCACGCAAATACTAATCAGAAGAGAGAGGAGATGGTTAGACAAAATATATTTTAAATTAAAAACTTCCACAAAAGACAAATATATAACAAAAAAAGGGTCAAATCACCAGGAATATGTAACAATTATAAATATATATACACCCAACATAAGATCAAATATATATATATGATATATATATATATATATATCATATATATATCATATATATATATAAAGCAAATGTTGACAGAACTAAAGGGAGAAATAGACAGCAGCACAATAACAGGAGATTTCAATACTCCACTTTCAGTAATGGATAGAAATCCAGACAGAAGGCCAATAAGGAAACAGAGTACGTGAACAATGTAGACCAAATGGACCTAATAAACATATACAGAATGTTTCACTCAAAAGCAGCAAAATACATGTTCCAAGCATATGCAACATATTCCAGGATAGCTCACTGTCAGTTCACCAAACCAGTCTAAAAAAAACTTAAAAAGGTTGAAATTATACAAAGTATCTTTTCCAACCACAGTGGAATAAAATGGAATCAATAACAGTAGGAGCACTGGAAAAAATTCATAAATATGTGAAAATTAAACAACCTACTCTTGAACAATCGATGGGTCATAGAAGAAATCAAAAAGGAACTTGGAAAATATCTTGAGATAAATGAAAAAGAAAACACAACATACCAAAACTTTTGGGATGCATCAAAAGAAGTACTAAAAGGAAATTGTATAGTGATACTTAAATTAACAAAAAGGCTTTCAAATAGAACAACCTAACTCTACAGTTCAAGGAACTAGAAAAAGAAGAACAAAATAAGCCTAAAGTTAGCAGAAGGAATAATAAAGATTAATGCAGAAATAAATGAAATAGAAAATAGAAAAAACAATAAAACTAAGAGTTGGCTTTTTGAAAAGATCAACAAAATTTACAAGCCTTTAGCTAAACTAACTATAAATAAAAGAGAGAAGACAAACAAATCAAACATGAAAGAGGAGACATTACAACTGATGCCACCAAAATAAAAAAAGGATTATAAGAGACTACTATGAATAATCATATGCCAAAAAAATGGATAATTGAGAAGAAATGGATAAATACCTAGATGTATAACCTATCAAGACTGCATCATAAATAAAAAATCTGAACATATCTACAACTAGTAAAGAGATTAAATCAGTAATCAAAAACCTTCCAAAAAAGAAAAACCCCAGGACCAGATGGGTTCACTGGTGAACTGTACCAAACATTTGCAGAATTAATATCAATCCTTCTTAAAGTCTTCCAAAAAATTGAAGAGGGGGGAATGTTTCCAACTTAATTTTATGAGGCCAGCATTACTCTGATACCAAAGCCAGAAGACACTATAAACTACAGACCAATGTCCCTAATGAATATAGATGCAAAAGTCTTCAGCAAAATACAAGCAAATCAAATTCAACAGCACTTAAGAAGGATCATATACCATGACCAAGTGCGGTTTGTTCCTGGGATGCAAGTATGGTTCAACATACAAAAACTAATCAATGTGATACACCACATTAACAGAACAGAGGTTAAAAAACACAACATAACTCAAAAGATGCAAAAATCATTTGACATATTCAACACCTCTTCATGAAAAAAACATTTAAAAAAAACTGTAAATAGCATGAAATTACCTCAGCATAAAAGTACCATGTATAAAACAGCCCATCGCTAACATCATACCCACAAGTAAAAAATTAAAAGCTTTTTTCCAAGATTAGGTTAAAGGCAAGGATGCCCACTTCTGCCATTTCTATTCAACACAGTATTAAAAGGCCTAGGAAAAATAATTAGGCTAGAAAAAGAAATGAAACACATTTAAATTAGAAAGAAAGTAAAATTATCTCTGCATAAGACAGGATCTTATATGTAAAAAAATCTAAAACCTCCACCAAAAAAAAAAAAAAAAAAAAAAAAAACCTATTAGAACTAATAAATTCAGCAAAGTTGCAGGATAAAAAAAAAATTAACATACAAAAATCCATTGCATTTTGATATACTACTAATAAGCAATCCAGAAAAGAAATTAAGAAAATAATCCCATTTACAAGAGTATCAAAAATAAATAAAATACATAGGAACAAATTTAACCAAAGAAATTAAAGACTTGTACACTGAAAACTATAAAATACTGCTAAAAAAAATTAAGAGACACTAATTAATGGCAAAACATCATGTGTTCATGAATTGGAAGACTTATTGGTAAAATGGCCATGCTACTCAAAGCAATCTATAGATTGAATGCAATCTCTATTAAAATCCCAGTGGCATATTTTACAGATATAGAAAAAACACTCCCGAAATTGATATGGGACCACAAATGAACCTGAATAGTCAAAACAGTCTTGAAAAGGAACAGACATAGCATCACACTTTCTGATTTCAAAACTTGTTATAAAGCTATGGTAGTCAAAACAGTGTGGTCTTGGCATAAAGACAGACATATAGAACAATAAAACAGAAGAGAGAACCCCATGCGGATGATCAACTGATCCTCAACAAGAATGCCCAAGAATACACAATGGAGAATGATGGTCTCCTCAACAAACGATGCTGAGAAAATTGGACAGTCACATGCAAGAGAGTGAAACTGGACCACAATCTTACACCATACACAAAAATAAACTCAAAATGAATTAAAGACATAAACATTAGGCCTGAAACTGAAACTTCTAGAAGAAAATATAGGGGGAAAGCTTCATGACCTTGGTCGTGGCAACGATTTCTTGGATAGGACATGAAAAACAACGAAAGCAAAAATAGATAAGTGGGATTACATCGAACTGAAAATCTTTTGCACAGCAAAATAGTCAATAGAGTGAAAAGGCAATCTATAAAATGGGAGAAAATATTTGCCAACCATGTATCTGATAAGTGGTTAATCTCCAACATCTATAAGGAACTCCTGCAACTGAATAGCAAAACAAAAACAAAAACACCAATAACCTGATTAAAAACTAAGCAAAGTACTTGAACTTCTCAAAAAAAAAAAAAAAAAAAAGGAATATAAATGGCCAACAAGTATATGAAAAGATGCCCAACATCACTAATCATCAAGGAGATGCAAACCACAATAAAATATCACCACAGCTATTAAGATGGCCACTGCTAGTAACTAAATGTTTGTGTGCTCCCCTCCCCCCGCCCCCCGATTCATATGTTGAAGCCTAATCTTTGTTGTGATGCTATTTGAAGGCAGGGGTTCTGGGAAGTAATTAGGTTTGGATGAAGTCATGGAAGTAGAGCCCCCATGATAGGATTGGTGCTCTTAGGAGATGAAGAGCCCAGAGCTCTCTTTCTCTGACCTGTGGGGACACAGTGACCAGACAACTTTCTATGAATCAAGAAGTGGACTCTCACCAGACAACAAATCTGCCAGTGTCTTTGTCTTTGACATCTAAGCCTCCAAAACTGTGAAAAATAAATGTTTGTTGTTTAAGCCACCTAGTTTGTGGTATTTTTGTTATAGCAGCCTAAAATTATCAAAACGACAACAACACACTAGAAAGTAACAAGTGTTGGTGAGGATATGGAGGAATTGGAACACTTGTGCACTGTTGGTGGGATGCAAAATGGTGCAGTTGCTATGGAAAACAACATGGAGGGTCCTTGTAAAATTTAAGATAGAACTACCATAATGACCCAGCAATTCCACTTCTAAGTACATAACTACAAGAATTGAAATCAGTATCTTGAAGAGAGATTTGCGCTCCCATGTTTATTGCAGCATTATTCACAATAGCCAAGAGGTGGAAACAACCCAATGAACATTTATCTGCTCATTGACAGATAAATGGATAAAGAAAACATAGTATATATGCATAATGGAATATTAGCCATAAAAAAGAAAGAAATCCTGTCATATGCTACTATATGGAGGAACATTGAAGACATTATACCAAGTGAAATAAGCCAGTCACAGAAGGACAAATATTTCATGATTCCACTTAAATGAGTTATCTAAAACAGTCAAACTCATTGAAGCAGAAAGTAGAATGCTGGTTGCCGGGGGGCTGGTGAGGGGAAACTGGGAGTTGCTGTTAAATGGGCCTAAAGTTTCAGTCACGCAAAATGAAACAGTTCTAGAGATCTACTATTCTCCATCCAGTCTATAATTAACAATACTATACACTACATTTAAAAATGTATTAAGAAGGCAGATATCATATTATGTTTTTACCACAATAACAATAATTTTTAAAAGCCTACTTGAATTTACATGCATATCAATATCCCCAGCAAAAGGAGAAAGCTGCGTGGGAAACAAAATAAAAAAGCTATGGATTTCCACCATGCCCAGGGATACACCAGACTTTGTAAATAATTTTGCCATTTGGAAGCCCATTCTTGGTCTTTAAAGTACTTAAAGGCTTTGAAAAAGTGCTCATAGGTGAAACAGCAGGAAGCATCTACAACCATTTCAGAGGGAGCCTTCTGCTTCCAGGAATAAAGTCACACATTTACAGGTGCTTCCTGTTTTTTCAAACACCTTGCCCACCTTCTGCACACCAGGCTTGCATTCTGAAAAACGTCAGCCCCACAGGAAGCTGCCTGCAAATTCAGGGAGCCCTTCTGAGTCTTAACGAGGGCTTGAATATACTTTCAGAGAAATGCCAGCAAAAACTGTAGTCATTTGGGGAAGAAGAAGTCTGGAAGAAAAATACACAGAGGACTAGCACCAAGAGGGTGAGAATATTTTTTTCTGTGAAAATGCTGTCTGCAAGTTACGTATTTAAACAAATACATGTGTTTTCTTTATGTTTTGGACTGCTGTGGGTGGAATTAGGAGAACTGACTGAAAGTGGGTGGCGGTTGTCATTTCTCTGTTGTAAGGGAGGAAGGGGATGGAGGAAGGTGAAGTGGAGAGGGGGAAGGATGGCTGCATGTCTGGAATGCCCCAACTAAGCTCAGGGGAAGAATTACTAGAAGAGTTTTTCTAGTTCGGGATGCTCACAAGCTTGTCCTGAAATTTCAGAGCTACCATCTTGAAATGATCATGTAGAGTGTTGACTAAATTGTGATAGTGTTCACAGTGAGCTTTGATTAAACTATGTTGTGACCGTGCTTAACATGGTCACAGGTAGACTTGGAATGAAAATGGCAGGCTCCGTACTCAGTTTTCAAATGGGTTCAGAGAATAAGTTGTTCAAGGTAATGAATGACAAATCACATATTACAGGCAAGGAATAATCTTGGGTAATAGATTGATTTTTTTTTTTTGGAATTAAAATTCAAAACTGAAGAAATTAGTAATTTCTGGCAACAATATTGGTTTAGCTCCCAAGTTTTATATTTACTTTTGTTTTTTCCACTTTTTTCCCCAATCCATACTATCAAATTAAGTTGAATTGCATAAAGATTTTTGTTTATTAAATTGACTCTGATGCTCTTTTTTCCACAATGAAATTAAAATCAGTAACTCCAAAGGTAAGCTTCTTCCAGTTAATTGGCAAAAGGGTTGGCTGGGAGAAGTTTCCTCTGCTGGGATTCAAACAAGTATCTGTAACCTACACTGGACTGAATTGGTCCACATACATCCTAAAGACGGTAGCAGTAAATTAAAGGAACAAAACTGAGGCTGATTAACTTCCTTTTGCTTGCAACAACAAAGACGGAAGAACTAGAATGTATTATGCTAAGTGAAATATCAGTGAGAGAAAGATTAAATACATAATTTCACTTATGTGGAATATAAGAAACAAAACAGATGAATATAGGGAAAAGGAAGGAAAAATAAGATAAAAACAGAGAGAAGGCAAACCATAAGAGATTCTTAAAATACAGACCTAAGGATTGCTGGGGGGTGTTGGTGGGGGGATGGGCTAAATGGATGATGGGCATTAAGGAGGGCACTTGGGATGAGAACTGGGTGTTATATGTAACCGATGATTCACTGGGTTCTACTCCTGAAATCATTATTATACTATATGCTAACTAACTTGGATTTTTTTTTTTTTTAATTTTTTTTTCAACATTTATTTATTTTTGGGACAGAGAGAGACAGAGCATGAACGGGGGAGGGGCAGAGAGAGAGGGAGACACAGAATCGGAAACAGGCTCCAGGCTCTGAGCCATCAGCCCAGAGCCCGACGCGGGGCTCGAACTCACGGAGTGCGAGATCGTGACCTGGCTGAAGTCGGACGCTCAACCGACTGCGCCACCCAGGCGCCCCTAACTAACTTGGATTTAATTTTTTTTTAAAGATGGAAACACCTGAATATCTTATATAACAAACAAAACCTTTCAAATACCTTTTGTTTGGAAAATTTTATACATCTAAGAGTTTGAAAAACAATGATTTTTTTAAATTGTAAAATCTGTTCACAATAATTTATTCCTCTTCCTGCTGTCTCATGTAGTTTGGTAAAGCATCTTGTTACTGGGAAGAGTATTTATTGAGAATTCCAACATGTAAATGCTACAGATTCAAAGAAGTCCTTGTCCTGAGGAACCCGACTTCTTCTCTGGACATACATGTGACACAGGAAAAAACAAACAAGCAAACAAACAAACAAACAAATGACAAAGGCAGACAGGATCCTAGTCACTCGGTTCTGTCACTAAATGTCTCTGGGTTTCAATTTTCTCATCAGCAAAATGAGAAAATTGGATGAGGTATTCTCTGAAACCTTTCCTAGCTTTAAAATATATTGATTCTAGGGTGCCTGGGTGGCTCAGTTAAGCGTCTGACTCTTGGTTGCAGCTCAGGTCATGATCTTGTAGTTCACAGGTTTGAGCCCCGAGTCAGGCCCTGCACTCACAGTGCCACCCCAGACACCCCTGCAGCTTCCAGCTTTCAAGTAGGTCTATATGACTCCTACTCCTTGCCCTTTGACCCCATTCTGTTCTCTCAGTCAGTTCCTTTATGATCTCTCTTGCTTCCAGGTCAACTTAGGCTATATGGCCAACTATCTCTAGTATTAGCTCCCATGATCCCATTTCTTTGCTTATCTGCCACCCAACGATCCCATTACTTGTTCTCGCTAATTCTACCCCTGAGCTACCGAGCACGGTTGTAGAAAATCAGAACTGTACCGAGTGTTTGATGTATTTGTTCTTTTTAACTCCAATTAGACTATCGCTGACACTCAACCATTTTTTGAAATTCTTCCATAATTACCTTCTTAAAATTTTCACCACTATTCATTTTCTTTATCCTCAGATTCTTACTGTTCTTTTACTTCTGAAGGTATCTTACATCCCGTATTCCTAAAAATTTTGATGTCACCTGATACATATTTTCTCAACCTTTCCTATCATTTCACCTCAAATTTATGCTATATCTTCACTCAGGTACCTACTTAGCTAACACTTAAAACATTTATTATGATCATTTATTGTGATCCACATGATAATATGATACATCACTTAATCTTTTCAACAACTTTGTGAAGTAAATACCATCATCTCTATTTTACAGGTGAATAAGATGTGTGCCCAACACCACCCAGCCAACAAGGAACAAAGCCAGGATTTAAATTTTGACAGTTGCAGCTCAGAGCCTACATTCTTTTTCTTCACCCTGAGGGGAAGCGGGAGAAGGAGTGTTTGTGTTTCGGTGGGGGGTGGGATTTGAACATAGATATATATTATCTTGTATCCAAGATCAATCTGTCTCTTCTTCCTCTGCCTTCTACGACATCCTTACTCATCTACTCAAGGACTTTATAACTGCTGTGTCACAAATCACCTCAAAACTTGGTGGCTTAAGACAACAATCATACAGCATTGCTCACAACTCTAACGGTAAGCTGGATGTTTCTGCTCGCGTGGGCCAGTGTGGCTAATTATAGCTGTATTCACTCACATGACCAGCTGGAGGCTTGCCTGGGACAGAATGGTCTAGAATAGACTTACATGTCTGGAAATCAGCCTAATGTCAGCTGGGTAACAAAAGTGGCTAGTCCATGTGTCACTCATCATCTAGAACATCCATTAGTGATTACAGGGTCCCCCCCAAGGGCCAAAAGGGAGCGAGCCTTTGTGTGCAAGCACTTTACAGGTGTCTGTTTGCCTCACATGTGTTATTGTCCCATTCTTCAAGCACAGTCACGGTCAGGCCCAGAGTCACCAAAGGGAACCACAACTACAAAAGCCTACAGACTTTGATGAATTATATATCACCCCTTCTCTTTGATCTCTCCCATTCTACTGACGCCTTCCCTTTATCTGCCAGCTTGGTATAATATACCATTTTAGAAAATTTCCCTCCAATCCCGTTATCCCCGGAGGTACTATGTAGCTGAGTCCATGAGTATTAGTGATTGACTGAATCACTGAAAGTTCTCTGAACTGACTTCCATAGAAAACAATGATAATGAAAGGATGAGGTAGTTCAAAAATATACAATTACCACAATAATTGTAAAGAAATTAGAAAAACAAAAGACTTTGATTCAGGGAGGAATATTGTTTAGAAATGTTAGCGTAGGGTGGTAATAAGGAAGCAGAATGACTTTTAGTTGGTTATCTTTCTGTTTTTAAAGTCTCTATAGACAATGCACCCCGCGTTACCTGTGCCTGAGAAAGATGCTCCCACTGCTTGGTCCTTGCACACCAGTACACCACGTTCTTTCTCCTGAACCTTAGTGAGGGTGCAAGACATTTAACCCTGAAGTTTCATCACCTTTTATATCTCAGTATGTTTTTAAAAATGACAAAAAACATCCTAATTTTTCTCTGGCTTTCCCTAAGCTCCATTTAAAGGCATATATACTTTCAGCTTTATGAGAGAATACATAACTGCCCTGTGCTTTTCCAGCACCGTGTGAGAGTTTCCATTGCTCCACATCCTTGGCCACATTCATTTTAAACCTTTCAGTTTAACAGGTATAAAATAGTATATATTTTAATTTGCACTTCTGTGCTATAAAAGCCTTGCATGCTTCATTGTACACAATACTGAAGTGAAGTTTTTTGGTTTTTGTGCTACATGCCTCAGCCTAATTTCTTTTAGGACTAATCTCATTCCTTTCAGTCTGTGATCTTTCAGCTGACAAATTAGTCACCAGTTTTTTTCCGGGTAAATATACCTCAAAGCAGGTGTTTACTTCACACAGTAACAGACAAGGTAGATTGTCTGCGTAAGTAGAGGTAATATGGCTGTGCCTATTCTAAGGTTCAGAGAACGTCCCTTGATTTTGTCTACAATTCTTGTTCCCTAATGTCCTCCCACCAGCTGGTAACCACCAGGAGCAGCCAAAGCCGTGTGTAAGGTTGTATTTGTGATATATGCCACTTAGCTTAAGAAAATTAAGTTGCTGTAAATCTGATAAAGATGTGTTTTTGTCACTTTCCTACCCTTGCACAGCAGTGAGAGATTTTAGACATGAACAGAGCTCCACTGGACTTGAATTGCTTTGATAAATCTCAGGTAAGCATCTGAGTTCTAGGCCCTCTTTCAAAACAAGAACTTCTTTTTCTTTATGTTTTAGTTCCAGGATTTTATTGGGCAGATGAAGGCTGTTTTGTTCCTTTAGAAAACCTCCCTCTCTGTTTATGTAGCTCCTCATTGACTTTCCTCTCTTATCAAGATTTGGAAGCACAAACTGGTGTTCAATTCAGTGAACGCATCAAAGTACCCAGCAATGTCAGATTGAATAGAACATTATATAGTTATCAATAGACATTTTGAAGCCTTTTTAAAAAGGTCATTGAGGGAAAATGTCCATGAAATAAGGAAAGGAGTCAGTGGAAATTTGTATCTATATCTATAAATATTTGTCAGTTATGTTTCTATCTTACAAATCTATATATCCACCTATCTAGAGAAAGGAAATATACCAAAATATTAACAGTGAGTATCTTTGAGTGAAGAGATTATGAATTAGTAAACACTTAAACATACATTTCTGATTTCCAATAGTTCGACCATGAACATGTATTTTTGTAATCCAAAATGATTAGAACAAGAAGTACTTATTAATAAAAAAAATAATATGGCAAAAGTTCTGGCAAGACATTCTTATACTATGGAAGCTTTGAGGCAGTAATTTAATATATACGATTATTTATTCTTTTGCTTTCTTTAGTTTTACATTGGTTTGAGAGAATACTAATGGAATTGTAACTTACCAGATATGTTTTGTAAACATACATTCAGTAAATTCAGACATGTGCAGGCAAGTCTGGTAGCCTGCTGGGTCTTTCTGCATGAAGGAAAGAGGTCTTGGTAATGAAACGTTATTATTTCCTTGGAGTTGACGGTTGGTTCCACAATGCCCTCCCCAAACCCCATTCACTGTGGCATAGGGGAATATTTTAATCTCTCAGGCATTGGGTGGCATTCCAGGTGACAAAGACACACATCATTACTAGAGTTAGAGTTCACAAGCTTAGTTGGGGGTGACCTTGGGAATGAAAAAGAATTCAGTTACACCCTCATACAATAACAACAAGCTTCCTACTCCTTCAGAGAACAGCCATTGCCCTCAGGAGAGGAAGCTATGAAAGATAATGAGTTAAATTAATGCTTATTAATCAGTTGATACAAAGAAAATAAGTCAAAAGTCACTCAGTTTCATTAATATCATCAAAACACCATTACATCCATCTAGAGGCCCGATAGAGAAGAGAGACGGTAGATAGGTGATGTCATGAGGATCTCCTCCCCTTCTTGAGTTCTTATTGCATTATAAAAAATATCATAAATTCATTTCTTAGATCAACAAATTTAGAGATTTTTAAAAATACGGTACTTTATTTTAACTTATTAAAACCCTATATACAGTTTCCTAAGACTAGGGGAGAATTTAAATTTTGCAAAGCAACTGAGCATGTATTTACGAAATGTGTCTAGCGCTATACTACATATTGTGGAGGCTAAAGAGATAAGACATTCCCTCTAAAGAAAGATCTTAAGACCTTATTGGGAAGATAACAATACACATGTATATGGCATACAAACAATATTACATAGTCCAGGAGGTATGGTAGGGTGAATTATTGAAGAAAGTGGTCTATTGCAATTTTAGAATATAAACTCTGGATTTGGCTCCCCTGAAAATATAAGTTCCATTCCTTTTATTACTATTGGGCAAGATACTTAGTCTCTGTATTCCTCAGCTTCTTCATCTGTAAAATGGCAAAAAATTAAATCTGCTGCGTAAAGTAATCCATATGCCATGTATTCAGAAGAATTTCTGACACATAGATGGTACTCAATAAAAACTGGCTCTTACCACTGGCAAAGGTAAAGAAAAACAGTTCAGAGAATACATCTGATACTTGTAAAATATCAATTGCCAGGATTGGACCAGGGTTTTGACAGAAAGTGATGCCTTTTAGAAATGGCATGATCAGATTTCAAAGAACATTTTTGGGTTTGCATTTTATAAAAGCCCAGGGATTATTCATCCCAATGACAGCTACAAATCATTCCCATACAGAAAAGAAAGTGGAAAAAACAGGTCAGGTGATTATTTTCTTAAAAAACATCTCAGATCACTTATTTGAGGTTTCTCTTGAAAGTTTGAAAAGTTTATGACCATCCACAGCTCATGATGGTGACAATCCTGAGGATATAGGAAAGTCATTTCCCCTGCAGGAAGAAAAAAAATATCCTATAGGAGAGATGAGTATGCCAAGAAGCCAAAAAAGGTAAGAAAATAATATCTATTCATTCACTCAGTCAACAAACATATGAAGTACCTACTATGTAAAGCATGGCACTAGGATCGAGAATCTTACATTAGTCTGTACCCTCAAGAGTTTAATGACAATTCAGGGATAAAATGGAATGTAATGAGGGTCAGAACACGTCCCTCCAGAAGGCATGCAAGGGGTATATATAGCAGGGATTCGGACAGGCCTCCTGGAGAAGATGCTGTCTGGATGGGATGCAGGGGGACAAAATACTGCAGGTATTCATTATGGCTAGAGTGTCAGTGTGGGAAAGCATGGCATGGAACTGCACCTGGAGACTGAAGGAGGGGCCGTGTGAAGTTCTGCCTTTATTCAGAGACCCAGGGGAACCCACTGAAAGATTTAAAGAAGGGGGATGACATTTAACTATCTTTATTTCTGTAAGATCACACGGGTTGCACCATGGAAGCAAACTGGAAGGTGGACCAGAACTGAGCGTTTATCAATTTTATAGCCAAAAATCTTGTGTAGTTTTCTGTGCGTATGAAGTCTGTAACATGCAGTGAAACTCACTTTCTTTTAAATCTATGTGGCTTGCTGGTCCAGTCCAGTGCTATCACCCATCAGTCAGTCCTGGTCAGACTCCCACTCAGTTCCCTATAATTAGTGATACAGCTGCCACAGTAGACAAAGAGGAGGAGAATGAGGTATGAACTTTTTTGTTTGTTTTCCTTCTCTCATCTAGTCAGTGTAAGGAATTTCACTAGTAATGTTTTTTTCTTTTGACAAAAGCAGTAATATAATTTATTACCCTATCAGCTTCCCCCCTCCCAAGATCTTAACGTGGCATTATGGTCTATTTAAGTGGTTACCCAAAATATTGCATTCCTGATGTTGATCTATGTAAGAACGATCCTGCATT